TCCCGTGTGTGTGTGTGTGTATAATGTACGCCACACGCGCCTATATAACACGAGAGTACTTTGAACTTGCACCGGTGCGGGTAAACGACCGGTTGGTTGCGGAAAATCAAGCGCGCGCCTCTCCTCTCGCGCTAATCCGCGCGTGTACATAATATACAGCAGCATCAGCACACACAACGCATTATCGTTTGTAAATATGCACGCGTTCGATTAACCCCGTTTATACACTCTCTACTGTATATGTACAGTAGAGTTTTGGGGCTCTCTTCTATCCTCTCGACGATAAAGAGAGTCACGCTATATATATGTGCTGCGCTAATTACCCAGAAATCGATCATCGCCGCGCTGTATTTTGTAATGCGCGATGACGACGATGATATGATGATAATTGAAAAAAAAACCGCTTACAAGTCGTGCGCGGTGAGACATCGTAGTTTAATAAGTCGCGACCTAATACAAAAAGTGAATCATCATCGATATTACTAATTGTCAAATATGCGCGGCGGCGGCGAGTCAAGAGAGAGCGAGATAAAGCGTGTTCACCACGCGAGCGCGTGCCTTTTTACACATCCATCTTTTATCATACGAAGGTCAGAGAGGCCAACACCCGTACACGATTAAAATGTATATTTTCAGGAGGCTGACCAACCCTCTCCATTATAGGGGCACACCGCGAAAAATCGGTTTTTCTCACGCAGAAGCAGCAGCAGCACAAATGAAATGAAATGAACCTGTCGCACGCGTATACGTATGACATAAAACGGATATAGAGAAAGACCGAGTGAGAGAGAGAGAAGCCACGAGAAACGCACACGGGTGCGAGTACAGTGGATCGATAATCCCAAACGTCGACGACGACGACGACGCCTGTCTGTAATCTGTATCGTGTGTATGTGTGTGTGTGTGCCATGGGCTTATAACTCCCTTTTCTCACGCAGTCGTGTGTTGTGTTCTGCGTTGTCGCGTGTACACACATCCCACTATACACTTATACCGTAACTCAGTTCGCATTATAATAAGTATTCGAACGACGACGACGACGACGACAAAAAAAAGGGAGAAAAAAAAAATAAAACACGAAGGAAAGAAAAAAAAAATTGATTTTTACATATATATTATACGCGCGCGCGTGGGCGAGGTGAGTGCAAGATACAGAGTACGAGGCGAGTCATAGTGGTGCTAGTAGTGTTTACTACCACCCTACTGCAAAATTATCGCGCGCAGCGCACGGGGGCCAATTATTACTCACACACAACGGAGTACATTTAAGTGAGTGTACTTGCTTGCTGCTGCGAGGGGGGCAGCAGCAGCAGCAGCAGCAATAATAATTTCTTTCGGGCGCAGCGGCATTATATTCCGGGAAGGCAATTTTCGCGCTGGCCGCGCGCGAGAGGGTAAATTGTCAGCAGCGGCGCGATCCTCGTGCGCGATATCGAGACGGCGGCGGCGGCAGCGGCGCATAATATTGTAAGTTCGGCCTTAACGCGGCTAAAGTAGCAGTGCAGCTATAAGGCAGCAGCAGCAGCAGCAGCAGCAGCAGCGAGGAAGAGAAGAAGAATATTTGAGGAAAAAGAAACGGAGAAAAAAGTCCAAAGTTGGCTGGGCTGACTGGGCCCCGTGCGTCTGTTGTATCTAAAGCAGCATCGGTAAAAAGCCGTACAATAAAAAGGAGAACTGCTGCTGCTCCTGCTGCTGATGCTTCTCTCCGCAGCCGGTCCCTTTTTCCCCGATCGACCTTCGCTTCGTACTACTACTCCTATATATACCATATAGTATATATACGTTGGTTCGCGCGCGCGCGTGTACACATCGCCGTTGTCATCGTCTTCTGTACTCTATGGGCAGCAGCGTATATATACATAAGGGAGGGAGAAATACACGTATACGTGTGTACGAGTGTGTGCGTAATCCTGATTCCTTATACCGAACGCGCTTCTTCCTATGGAGGCGCATGCGCGACGACTATACTACGACGATATTATATTATGGGGTCTCTCTCTCTCTCTGGCAGCTCGCTTGCCTCGAACCGTGTGTGTGCTGCGTTGTCAGACCTCTCTTACTCGGGTGAACACAAGAGAGCCCACATATAGAGAGGCCTTTTGCGAGGGAACGCATAATGTGTATATGTATATAAGCGAGCGAGCGAGCGAGTGAGCAAGCATGCATACACACACACACACTGATTCGCACAGATACTCGTTGATTATCTAGGTATGTGTGTTAAGAGAGAGATATGCCATGCATATGCGATATACATGTCTTCGAGTGGCCGCAGAGTAGAAAGAGAGAGAGAGAGAGAAAGAGGAGTACATGATATATATTTTGATTTTTTTGTACATTTTTTTGATTCGCTAACGTCGTATATTGTAAAGCACTTCGATTATCTTCGAACGACGACGTTTCGAGATTATTGTAAGGCGTTCTAGATTCTTTTCTCTCTCTCTTCGGTTCATTCTCGACCTATACCGAGTAGTAGTAGTAATATATATGTGTGTGTGTATAATATATCGCGCCGGGTGGCTCAAGTGGCCAATTGGCTAATGTAACACTCGACCGGCGAGCTCGCGCGCGAGTAATACCAGTATATTGTATCGTGAATGACTTATACACACACACACACACACGTATATATATCGCAGGAGAGTAGCTGCCGCTGTGAGACGGTATTTGGAGAATGAAAAAAATTTATGTAACGTCGCGAGAGTTATATACTATTGTAAAAATAATCCACCCGTAGAGTCCGTCCCGTCCCGTAGTAGTTCGCCGTTAGAGGAATTTATGCATAATATAATAAAACAAAAAAAGTGAGATAGAAAGAGAGAAAAGGAAAAAGAGAACATATCCATCCCGTACATGGCCTTGAAAATGAGAGTGAACCTCTCCTGCGGGGATTTAATGAATGTGTATGTATGTGTGTGTGTAACGTCGTCGCGCGTTCGGAAAGAAATTTGAATAATCGCGTGTATTATATTACGCGCTCGTTCGTTCGTTCGTTCGACTCTCCGCGATACGGACACGAGAAATGAATGACTCCGAGAATGAGCCGATGTATAGTTTTTTTTTTTTATTTTCTGCACGATTCAAAACATCATTATAACTTGTCGAGTATATGCGCGCGATAAAAATTGAAATAAAATCACGAATAACAACAGAAGATCGGCGCAGCGAAACGATAAGGAGCAGAATCATCGGCGAGCGGGATAATTAATGAAGTGTATAAACTGCCGAGAGCTAGGCGAGAGGAATATACGACTCCGAAATCGAAAAAATATGTGTATCACGAAAATTTCGTGTAGTGTGTGCTTAAAGCACGCCGTAACGTAACACACATACACACAGAGAGAGGGTCACAAGGCAGATGCGGCGCGCTAGCGTTCACTGTATACGAGCGTGTGATAGAAGAGAATTTTTCACGTGCTTTTCCCAGGAAAAAAAATATGTGTGTGTATAAATATACACGGACGCAGAAGACAGACCCGCGCGGTAAATCTCAGTTTATGTAGACGAGAAAACAGACACTGCACTGTATACTACATTATAATACAACACACGTCACGCATCATCAAGGGACACATAACACGCGGATGATTCTCTGTAATTTCGCGCGTTACAGTATACGCGACGAATTAAAGGAGTAGCGTTGCTGCTGCTGCTGCGCGAAGAGAGAGAGAGAGAGAGAGAAACAGACCCCCGATGGAATATACAACGCAACGTGTGCTATATGCCGCGAAAACCGCCCTCGCGCCATTTTATACTGTACAACGCACGCACACAACAGCAGCAGCAGCAGTAAGCAGCGCTTCTCAACCTCGTGCGCGCAGTAGCAGCAGCAGCAGCAGCAGCCAACGGATAAAACATCATCTCGTGTGTGTCTGCGCGCGGCCGATCCTTTCGGAATATCGATATTATGTACATTATAGAAGATGCAGTTTATCATTTCTTCGACGCTACTCCTCTTATTCTTTTCTCGTCTCGTCGGTATAATAACGCAGCGACGACTCTACGACACACGACTTTGCACGGGATGAAAGGAAAATCGATTCTTCGCGCGGGTGGAATCTCGTCGTTCTTTTTTCTCTTTCTCGATTCTTCAACGTACAACAACGCACACGCATACACACACAACCCGCATCTCGTGTGCAGCCATCTGCATTTCACGCACGCAGCACTCGCACACTCGAGAGAGACACACAGACAGACAAAAATATATTACGAGAGAAACAACAGAGCAACGTTTTCAAATGTGCATAATAAAATTTCTTCCTTCTTCTTCTTTTTTTTTTGTTGGTCTTGTTTTATATACGTGCGTGCGAAGGTTTGCCACAATTTTACGCGTATGTATATAATAATATATTTACAGTACATAAAAAAAAAAATATATATACAGCAACCAAAGAGAGAGAGAGAGAGAGTAGGCAAAGTAAAATACGTATAATTGCAGAAAAGTATATAAGGGAGCGCGTATACCACGAGTCCCCCTTGGATACAAAAGCGGAGTAGTATACAACACACTCTCACACACACATATAAGAAAGAAAGAGAAGGAATATATATGTATGTGTTTAGTACACGGGCGGCACTGCGAAGAGCGAGAGAGAGACAGAGAGCACAAAAAAGGGAGCGCGTTTCGCGTGTGCGTAAAGTACGAATTTCGGGCGCAAGAGAGAGAGAGAGAGAGAAAAGTCACAGGCTGGGTCGTGTGTGGTGGTGTAGCATTGGTAGTGGTGGTCGGTCCTGGCGACGATGGTGTGTTCGTATGGTACGCGGCGCGCATCCTATATACTACATGTTGGGGGGCTCTTTTTTGGGTTGATTCCGTATATATACGCGCGGCGCGCACATAATGTATATAAAAATATTTATTATACATGGATAAACGTTGCAACAACGTATATACGTATGCAACAATGAAAAAAAAAAATCGAGTCGCGCGTATAATTGATGCACACACCGTATCGATGGTGGTTTTTTTTTTTTTTTTTTCGTTATGTTGTACCCACCTCGTACTTGACGCCATTGAGTCGCAGCCAGGTCTCGACCTTGAGGCAGTAGCTCGACAGACTCGGCAGCAGCGGGGTACGCGGGAACTGATAGAGATACACCACGTCCTTCTCGAAGTTGGGCTTGTGCACGCCGGGAGCCTTGGTGGGCGCGGCGGCGGCGGCCTGAGCCTGGGCCTGGGGAGCGGCGGCGTCACCCCCGGCGGCGGGCGCGTCACCCGTGGCCACGGCCGCGGCCGCGGTCTCGCTCGCGTCCTTCTTCTCCGTCGAGTCCTCCTTCTTCTCGGCGTTGTTGTCGCGGGCCGCCTCGTCCTGCTTGTTGTCGCCGGGCAGCACGTCGTCCTTCAGGGCATCCTTCATCTCCTTGATGTCCTTGGTCTCGGCCGCCGGCCCGTTGTTCTCCGTCTCCGTTGCCATCGTCATTTTTGTATGGGTTTAGTTAAATTCTTTCAATTATTTTCGGGAAAAAAATTCGGTTGCGAACAACGATTCTCCTTCGTTATGTATATATATCGAGGCGACAAAAAAAACTGCGGCACTGTGTTAATCCTTGCTGGATTTACAATTATTATATATCGATACACACTCCTCCAAAAAAACGTGTGGTTTTATATTCAATGTACTTTATATCTTTATTACTTTTTTTTCTTCAAAACAAAAAACTGCGTACGTGTGCTCGGCTCAAAATCCCAGACGACACTGACTGACTGTGCTTCGCGCGAAGGATAGAAGTTATAACCGCCCGTGAACGCTCGCTCACTCCGCCGCTGCCGCTGCTGCTGCTGCGGCACGGACGCCGGTTTTCTCTCTCTCGCACACACACACACACACGCGCGCGGACGGACACAGGAGTGTATTCGCCGCCACCGCTTGGCGCTTTGGCTTTGCGCGTTTGCTCGTCACACACACATAGACACACACATGGACATTCGCACTCGGTGTGTGCGCGAATATTCTCTCTCTCTCCCCCACTCGAAGTCGGCTCGCGCAGGCGCACTCGCAGCCACACCCTGTGTGAGCTTCGGCAAGAGTCGCGCGTTTGTGTGAGTGTAAAATACTACATATATACAGTATACACACGTATACGAATGTATATAGTTATAGAATTATGCAAGTCGAGTTTATGGTATCTGTGTGTGTGTGTGTGTATCGTATAGGATACACTACAGTCGGGCATAGAGCGAGAGAGACAGAGCGCAGGGCCAGGACGCCATGTTGCTGCTGCTGCTGCTGCGGCGCGTGCACGAGAGCGGCGGCGACGAGTGCGTTCCCGTGTATATGTGCCTGCTGCGGGGGGGTACGCACTCGGAGTCGGAGTATGCATGCACCGATATTACACGAGTGAGAGAGAGAGAGAGCTGCGCCTGCAGCAGCAACCCCGTGCAAAGAAGCCAAGCCTCGTTGGCGCGCGTCGAATTATTATATACGGGCGATGCGCGGCACTGATCGAGAGGCGCTCGTCGCGCTCCTCTCTCTTCTGCGATATCGTCGTCATATAGATATATATGTAATATCGAGGCGAGCAGAAAGTTTAGTTAGCCGGGCCGTTGGTAGGATTATCCTATGTGAGGTATTTGATAGGGCCATGACTGCGCTTGGGCGAAGTGCGCGAGTAAAGATCGGCTTTCAAGCCGGTAATTTTTATAATATGAATGAATCGTGTGGTAGGAGATATGCGATGTTGCTCGAAAAAAAAAGTTACAGTTCGTTCGTACTGTTTGACGTCTATCGTATGTTCAAAATCTGAAGCTTATGAATGGATTGTATTAAAAAAAAATTATGAAACTTGACACTTTTTAAGTGTTGAAAAAAAATAGCTTCAAGATGTGATACTATTTTAAGATTTTTCGTGAATGGAGCTAAAATGAAATCGAAACAAAAAAATTAGAATTCAAGCAAATTCATGAACACAATTTTATTTTTCAATTTATTTATTAGTATGACATGAAAAATTTGTTTAATTTCATAAATATTAGATAAAAAAAGGACGGTAAACGTTCTTATGCTTGTCAAATGTTTTGGCCAGCAGCCGCCAAGCAAATATTACTTAAATCTTCATTCATAAGTTGCTCGATGATCATCTCGCAGCAAAGAATCGGAAGTTTATAGCGTGTCAACTCCAAGAAAGGATCCAGCGCCCATCGTCGGAAAAATACTCTTGACATCTTTTCGCACAAATGCATCAAACAAGCCTCCTCATAACTTTTTGAAAGACTCCATAAATCTTTCGAGCGCGCGAACTTGAAGTAGTCCGTATACGTGAGCTGTTTCGACGCTTTTTCGGGTGGCAGCTGGATCAGGTCGTGAAGGGACAGGCTCGGATTAATCATTCGTTTTTTCGTTTCGAACGTGAACTCCTCGTCGTCGTGCAACAATTTTTCAAGATCCGACGGTTGTTCAAACAATTCGCACTTAGCGAAAAATTCCATCACCGTCATGACGTCACTTCGGACCAGCTCGTATCCTCTTTTTTCAAGACGTTCAACGACGGCCAGAGCCCCAGATGCAAGTTTCAACTTATTCCAATTCCAATCGTAATTATTTTCGTCAATTCCTGTATAAAAGTCGTTTCCATGGGGAAAAACAAAAATTGACAGATCGGCACCACGATCCAAGAGTACATCGACCGTATACGGGTTTAAATTACCTACGGCCGATTGCAGTGGTGTTCTACCTTCGTTGTCCCGAGCATCGGCCTGCATCGTTTGCTGCATTTCATCGTTGATCTCGAAGAATCGTTTCGCATAGTTATCGCCATATATCAAAGACTTGCATATAATGTGCAAAGGTGTCGATCCTTCTGCATCAGCCAAATTCGGATTGGCGCCATTTCTCAGCAGCACTTCGGCCACCTTCGTGCTATTGCTGCATAGAGCATAATGCAGTGGTGTCCGACTCAACTGGTCTCGAGCATCGACCTGCACTTGGTATTTTCCTTCACTAAACTTAAATAATATTTCACTCAATTCCCTATGATCTAGGAACTCATTATTAGAAATGACGTGCAGAGGTGTCAATCCTTCCTTATCGGCCAAAGTCGGATTCGCGCCATTTCTCAGCAGCCACGCAGCTATTTTCGTGTAGTCATTCTTACAAGCATAATGTAGCGGTGTCCGTCCTGACTTATTCTGGGCGTTGATTTGAAGCGGTTGATAATCGTCGTTGCTGAGCTCAAATAACATCGTTACAAAGTCATAACCGTAGTTAAAAATTTTTTCCAACTGCAGGCAAAGAGAATGCAGAGGTGTTGTTCCCTCCTCATTGGCTAAATTCGGGTTAGCGCCATTTATCAGCAGCAACTCGACCACTTCTTTTGAGTAGTTCTTCACAGCCAAAAGCAATGGCGAATCACTTGTTGCTGTCACGGGGAGATTGGGATCAACTTGGCCGAGATCGAGGAATTTCTTGACGACATCGTAACATCCGTACTTGCAGGCCACATGAAAATGCGTCAATCCATCTTCGTCGGTGTAATTCATATCGAATTTGTCGTAGATTTTAAAAAGATCATCGATGATGTAACTTTCATCACTCCTAAAGGCATGATGCACTGGTGTGGTGCGACGCAATAATAGTTTGCCGTCTTCATCAACTTTTGGCTCGTCCTTGTAGCCGGTACTCATCACAAAGTCGACGAGTGTCTCGGGGTAGATGTCGTCGTCATCGCTCTCGATAGACTCCGTGAGAAGCCATTCGATCTCTTCGGGCTGAAAAATGTTCCGGAGATTAGGAAGTTGGCTTTGCCATTCATTAACTAAGGCAAAAAATTCATCAAAAAATATCATTCGCTCCTCTTCAATCTCCCACTTGACATTTTTTCGTAAGGCCTTCAATCTTTCTAGTTTTTGTTGGTTAACTGCACTCGCATTGTATTCGTGGTCGGACATGATTTTGCACTGCACTCACACAACACAAACAAAGTCTCATATAATTCAAAATAGCCTAGACTTTATGTATTTTCGTGAAAATCACTCGCTACAGTCGTTAAGATAGTGTCGTGACGTGTACTGACTCGATTATTATGTTCGCGACGCTTCCAGCATGTGGTAGGCAGCGCTCGAGTAGCGGATTCTGAAATTCACGCGCACTCTCGAAACGTCAGCTCTGTTTTGGTCTCTAAATCTAAAATAGTCGAGATGTGCATGAAGCTCTTATGAAACTACCCCAACGCTTTTCTGAGTACATCGGCTCGAAGTGAAAAACTTTTTTATTATGTTTAATGCGTGCAAAGTAAAACCTGAATCAATGTGAGTAAAGTGTGCAGCAAACTTTATATTACAGAGCTCACTGCTCTTATGAAATAAAACCGCAAAGATTAAATGGAAATAAATTTATGGATTCAGTATTTTTTTGTATAAATTTATTTATTTAAATGACACGATAATCATAATTAAACTTCGGCCAGCAGCAGCCAAACAAATTCGCCACGAATCTTGGCTCTTCCGATTCTCGAAGATCATCTCACAGCAGAGAATTGAAAACCGTTTACGCGTCAGCTCCATCAAGGGATCCAGGGCCCAGTCCAGACAAAATTTTCTCGATACTCTCTCGGACAGATGCCGAGCGCTAGCCCCCTGATGCCTTTCGGTATAGAGATCCGATAGATATCCGCGTTGACGATCTCGAAATAATCCGATAACGCGAGTTTGATTGTTTGACAGGATCAGGTCGTAGAGCGACAGGTCCGGTTTTATCGTACTTTGCTTTGTCCGCGAAATCCTCGTCGTCGTACGACATTCTCTAGCGGTTCAGATATTGTAAGCAAAATGTACGAACGGACGAATAGGCAACTTAATTGTAAACAATACAATGATTAACGATTTCGACGTGTTCCATCGAAAATTTATCATGTTCATTGTAAAAATAAATTAGTTCGAATGTTGTCTTTCTCGACGAACGATTTCACTCATTCAATTTCCGTGCCACTAAGTAGGAGAATCCATTATTTAATTTAGGCACGAAAATGGATAAAAGTGAGAAGAAATCCGAAGAAGTTAACTCAGAAAATAATTTAAGTGAATCCGACGATATTATTTCAAACGACAAACAATACGCTTGTGATATTTGCCCAGAGGCGTTTACACTAGAATCAAGTATGATTACACACCGCGACACAATTCGCAATGAAGAGGAGAATTATGAATGCGACAAATGTGAGAAAAAATTTGAATTCCGAAGTCATCTGAGTAGACACCAAATATTAGAACACAGAGTCCACAAAGATTTTTCATGCGATCAGTGCGAGAAGAAATTTGTGAAAAAATCGAGTTTGCTTACGCACCAAAAATTGGCTCACAAAGATCCTGTAGGTTTCACTTGCAACAAGTGCGAGAAGAAATTTGATAATAAATCAACTTTACTCAAGCACAACAAAATATTCCACGAAGTTTTCAAAGATTATTTATGTGAAAAATGCGCCAAAAGATTTGGAAATAAACAAAGTTTGCTCATACATATAAATACAGTCCACGAGGGTCGCAAAAATTATGCATGCAATAAGCGCGAAGAAAAATTCGTAATAAAATCGGATTTGATCAAGAACCAAAAAACAGTCCTTGACGGTTGTAATGATTACTCATGTGATAATTGCGGGAAGAAATGTGGAAATAAAAATTATTGGCTCTTGCACAAAAAAACAGTCCACGAAACCCGGAAAGACTATACGTGCGATAAGTGTGAGAAGAAATTCGGACAAAAATCGCATTTGGTCAGACACCAAAGTACAGTACACGAAGGTCGCAAAGATT